TCATAAACATTGCATTTAAATATCATAATATTGCAATCATTATACTCATGGGATTGACCAAAATCATTTGAACCTAGTTTTCCTAAAAAACTCACTTGAATATTATAATTCTTTAAAATTTCCCAAAACTATCATTGAATCACAAAACCCATTTCAGACCATTTGATATTATCATTTAGACCATTTGAAATCCAAAAATTGCAAAAAAATTATTTTCACAAAAATTACCAAAATACACCTAGACCCCCAAAATATCAAAATTTTCAAATTCTCCCAGAGTCACCAATAAGTTCTAAAAATCACACCAAATCATTCATTATGTCTTCATGAGAATTTTGACTGTAATATTGTCATACTTTTGGACAATTTTTTGACACATCGACACAAAAATAACGAATACTTAAAAAAAAAGATTCGGGGATCATAAAACATTCAACATTGATCGAAAATGACCTCGAACATTATCGTTTGACTCCAAATTTCTTCTGAATATTGTCATATTTTTGGATAAATTTTTGACACCTTGACACAAAAATAACGAATACTTAAAAAAAACTTCGATGAATATTGTCATATTTTTGGATAAATTTTTGACACATTGACACAAAAATAACGAATACTCAAAAAAAACTTCGAAGATCATAAAACCTTCTACATTGATCAAAAATGACCCCGAACACTATCGTTTGACTCCAAATTTCTTCTTGTCGTTTGAGTCCAAATTTCTTCTTGAACCACCTCGAGTCTTTAAATCAACCATTTGACCACTTTGACTAAAGTCGGTCAAAATTACCAAAATGTCACTTATGGCCCAAAAATCTCAAATCCTCCAAAATCATTTCAAACACCCCTAAAATCAATTTTTGGCTATTCATTGGGTCGAATTTTGATCAAATTCACTCACTTTGACAAAAATCATCAAATTGAGCTTCATGACCAATCAAATGCCTCAATTTCAAATTCAACATGTCTAGATTCAATTTCAAATGAATCCAAATCAATTTAATTGACTCATGATCAATTTCAAAAACGATTGATTGCGAACCAGAAAATCGAGGAAAATTAAATTTGACGCTTTTTTTACATGTCTATCGACAAAAGTCGTCAGAACAACTACGGATGACGAAACAGACTAAAAATTGCATCCAGAACGTCAATTTCACTTAGAGAGGTCATTCGTTGCACTACGGTTTCACATGCGGACTTTAAATACACAAGTTATCATTTTTTGTTGGATCGCCTAAAAAAGTGATCTGAACGACCGAGATTGACGAAACGGACCACACCAGTGCGTCCGGAGCGTCGATTTTACTTACGTGGGACATTCATTTCACCACAACGACGTGTTCGTCAAAAATGCGCAGAGAACTTTAAATAATAATAATAATATTATTATTATTATTATTATAAGAATATATATAAATATATTATTTTTTAAACTCACGCATGCATGAGCCTCCCTCTCTCTATCCCTCTCATTGCAGCTATAAAAAACAAAAGAAATAATAAAAAAAAAAATCTTATCTATCTCATAATCTCATTCTCACGCCTGATTAAAAAAAAATGAAATTTGTATGCTTCCCTATCTCACCTCTCACTTTCTCTCTCTCCCAATCTCATTCCCACGCCTGATATAAAAAAAAAGAAATTTGCATTCTTCCCTCTCTCACCTCCCTCTCTCACTCCCACTCCCACTCCCACTCCCACTCCTACAGCCATCATAAAATAAAAATTAAAAGAAATTTGCATTCTTCCCTCTCTCACCTCCCTCTCCCTCTCTCTCTACCACTCCCACTCCCACTCCCACGCCTACAGCCATCATAAAATAAAAATTAAAAAAAAGCATCTCTCACTCTCTCACCTCTCTCTCCCTCTCCCTCTCTCCCTCTCTTATGTATATATCTAATAAAATAAAAACTCACACATACTTAAATTCATGCCTACCCCCTCTCCCTCTTAGCTGAAGACAATAATAATAAAAAGATTTCATTTCGATGAAAATGAAAGAAGAAAAAAAAAAGAAAAAGAAGAAGAAGAGAAGAGTAAGAAGAGAGGATAGACCCAAATTTTCATAGAGCCATCAAACTCACTTGCACCCTTGAGCAAAGTTGTGCTCCTTGACCTGAGGAATACAACCCCTGAACAACCCAACCCACACCACCGCCGCCGCCGCCGGAAAAGCCCTCAAAGCCCTCTAAAGCTCACAGTCACCTTTCAATTTTGCACGAAAAACTCTTCTGAAACTCGCCCAAATTGTAATATTAGTCTTCTTAGGTCCTTAAGAAGTCAGATCAATTATTTTCCATTACTGTGGCGGTTTCTAACACATCCTCCAAGCGATGTCAAGTCAACTCCGGCGAACTTCTAATTCGATGTAAAAACGACATCAAACTGACGCTACGAGGAGTTGGATAAGCTCAATAAGGTCTACTTATTCAAACCTAAATGAGGACAAACATCTTAGGCTCAGATATATCTCTTAAATTCAAACAATGATCCCGAGTTTTCCTCACTTCCAGATCAAAAAGTAGATCATAAAACACCTAAGTATCCATATGAATGTGATCTAATCTTCGAGCTGAACAAAACGAGCCTAAGAACGCAAAATTTGGTTGAGAATCGGTGGAGAACGAACTCCGGGAAGTTCCAGCCGTTGAACTATCGTGTTAGCGTACAGTATCGCGTAAGGGAGACGAAGCGGAGCATATTTTCATATTATTATTTTTTTTTTAATTCAAGAAAATTGGATTTAACTTCAAAATTACATAACTTTTTATGTAAAACTCAAAAAATAAACCGAAAGATATTATAAACTCAGGGAAAGGAGAAGATTTTTTTTAGAATTAAAATCACGATTTTTACTAAGTACATATTTTTACATTAATTTTTAAAGTTATGGAGTATTTAAATCAAAAAAAATTAAAATATAAATGAGAAAAATATAAAATTTGATAAAGATATTAAATGGTCTTGGGGAAAGCTTCTCTGATTTTCCAAGACATTTTAATGTCTCTATATTTGTATTCTGATTTTTGAATAAAACGACATATTTATGTAAATTTAAAATTATAAAAATTATAAAAATTGTAAAACTCTCTCTGATTGAACGTTTGACCATAAACAGCGGTTTAAAATTTTTTAAATCACGTTTAAAATAATTTTTATAATAAAAACCTATTAATTAGGGTTTAGGTTTAATTTAGGCTAAGTTTACCTAGCTCAAGCTCAACCTAAGTCTAACCAAATCAATTCTCTTTAGGTCTTATTCAACCTGATTACAAACCTAGTCAACTAACTCAAGGATTAAGTCAATCACCCATTAAGTTCAATTTTAGTCATTTAGGGTTTTAGGTCAGTCAGTCTTTAGACCGAGTCTAGTCAGAGAAAACTTAACCTTTAGCTGAGTAAAATTTGAATAGTTGGAGCATTTTAAACTTGAGATTTAAGTCATCCTATCATTTAATTCAGACTGAATTTCTTGGAGTTTAGAGTTAGTCAACATGAACTTTACTTTAGTTTAACCTGCACATTAGGTTCATCCTAAATTAAACCTTAATTTTAGGTTAGCCTTAACCTAGACCATCAGGATTAATAAATTTAGTATTTTGTTAAATACATATAAAAATTAATATAAAAATTATGAATAAATATTGCTATTTAATCGTTTCGAGCTAAAATGAGTCAAACACAAACGAACAAACATTTATTCGTTTTCGGCTCATTTATAAGTCAAGCTCAAAAAAATTATTCGTGTTCGGCTTGCTTTATTAACGAATAAAACACGAGCTATTTATTGAGCCAAACACGAGCTATTCGCAAACGAAGAGTTTTTTTGATAGTCATACAAGTGATAAATGCTCTGATATTATGTTATAAAAGAAGGAAAGTGGAAGAAATAAGATTCTATATTTTTATTGTATATAAGCGAATGTAAGACCTACATATAAGCAGAAGAGAAGACCAATAAAGATATAAATATAATGAATAATACATCCAAATAATAAATATATCTCAATGATGAGAGAACAAATTTACTAGTAAATATATGCATAGGGAAAGGTTAATCCTTCATTTAGCTCGATTATGCTTGCACTCCTAAAAATTGTCTGGCAAAGGATATCAGTATTTTTTTTTAAGACATTGGTATTTATTTAAGAACATTATATTTTCTATGTCCTAGAGTGATCATATTATTGTAGAGAACTTCATGTTATGTAGACACACCTTCTTGAAAACATCATTTTTGCTCGCTTTAATGAAAACAAACTCGATAGACCTGCAAATCTTACCAAAGGGATTCCCAATAAACCAATTTTACAGTTCCTAAATATTTAGCCATGAACAGTTTCTTGTCATAAATATTTCTATGACTGCACAAAATGTGGATCACACAGACTCTGTAGCATAGAGGAGCCAAAATTAGCAACAAATTATCATCAGAAACGAGTGAAAAAGAAAAGACGAGAAAACTTTTTTAATTCAATATTCCTGGATGAAGACTAAACAACCAGAAATGAAAAGGAACAAATTTTGATGAAGTTCCGAAGCAATAACAAAATGAAACATCCAAAAGTGAGTATGAGTAACATAAATAGAAATGGGGAAACCATAATCAGGTGTTTATATGAAACAAGTTTAACCATAGAATGAAGAAGCAATCCAAGCATGACCTTAAAGAAACAAATGAAAACTGACCTCAAACATTAGAAAATTACATGAATGACCTAAAAGAAATATTTCGTTCTGATTCAAAACAAAAACAAAAATAAAAATAATTCATTCTATCAAAATGGCCAGTTAAGTTGATACATAAGATAAAGAATGAGATTGTTCCGTTTGATAGTGAAGCTTAAGTAGTCGCCGCTAATAATTGTTTCACTAAAAGGCAAAATTTCTTTGCATATGATTAAAACTATCTAAGCATAAAGTGGTTGGGAGCAAAATATAATATTAATAAAATAATCCACAAAGAAATGATAAAATTATCGTTAAAGACTCACTTTGTCTCTAAAGGGTTTGACCAATATTTGTAGTGGCTGTATTTCGGATCATCCAAGTTCTCAGCAATCCCATAAGAAAAATGAGCACTACCACGTTGCATCATCTTTGGAGCAACAAAATGAAGGAGGTCTAATATCGAATCAGCTGTATATGCTTTGTACTCAGCAACTGCTTTGGCCCCTCCCACTCCAAATTCATGGTACTCGGTCCAAACATCATGACAAGATGCATTTGCTTGTGCCAAATTACTGCCCTTGATAGCACCCTAAATAAAAAAATAGTCAAAATGTTATGAAGATACAAAATGGTTTTAAGAAGCAAAATAGCACAGATTTTGTATAACCGTGATCTAATGATGTGTAAGAAATGTATGGGGCAATTTTTTTTATGTTTTTCTCTGTATTTTTCTGATTATTTGCATCAATTTTATGCTTTTCCAGGGTGTTTTCAGATGTTTTTGCAAAGCGTTGGATTACAAATTAAAAGGGGAGCATTTGGAACAAAAAGTGCCTTAAGTGTTTTGTCTTACGACCCGGTACCCGAAGTGTAGATCTGGCGCTTGACATTTATCATTCAATAGGAGAAATTAGAGAAGTTGAAACCCGGTGCTCAACCCAGTGATCCAGCGCTCAAACAGTACACGCACGTTGAATAGAGAAGCTAAAAACTAGGCGCCCACACCCAGTGCCCGCTAGGGTGTGGTTGACCTGAAGCCCATATGGGAAACCCGACCCCAGCCTTACATCCCACGTTCACATGCTAGCCCGAGCGGTTGAATACTCAGCGCTCAAGGGGAAAAACCGACGCTCCCAAACCGACATATGGAAGTTACTTTGGTTTCTTATCTATGTGACTTGGATAACGACTTAAATTTGGCATAATCGATGTAAAAGCAACCCCTAGTGACATTAGAGTGTCCAAAGCGTGATGAGAGTAAGGAGGAAATTTTGAAGGAGATCAAGAGAAAGTGTTAGGGAGATTTAGTGAGAAGATTTTCTTGTAATTTGTGAATGCTTCCAACTGAATATTGTTGTGCAAGGGATAAATTTTGGTGGAAGCAATTCTTGGGAACAACGATTATCTTCTATCGAATTCTTCTTTTAAAAAAGTCTTGTGTTTGTTTAGATTTGATGAATGAAGTCATATTTTCATTGTTCAATATCATAAGTAGCACTTATTGTTTTTTGCTCTTTTTTTTTTTTTGCTCCGTTGGATTGGTAATCTAGGAAACTAGATATTATCCATATTATGTGATTGATTTAATCTTGTGGAATGGTTATTTTTAACTTTCTGCACTTTATTTACTTTCAATCTGGCCAGTTGATCAATAAAAAATTAATGTGATATATGAGTTTAGTGGAACAATTAAGTTAAAGCACACTTGCTCAGAAGAACAGAGATATTGCTGCTAGGATAGCACAATCACAAAAGGAAACATAAAATCCTAAGAATTTTTGCATGTTTAAGGAAAGTAAATTGATGGCCTTGAAAAAGACTAAGGAGAAAATCTACTCCTTATTGTCACTAATAATTGATAGCCACTTGGTCAAATATACGTTCTTAGGTCCAATTCAGGGGAGGATCTTTCACTTAATAGAAAATTCCACTTACTCTACTTAAGATTCTATTTCATTTGCAAAAATTAGGATTAGTCATTTTAAAACTCCCAAAATTTTAACTCTTCGAACCATACTTAGTACTAGTAAACTAGAATATTCACTTATTGTGAAAATTAACAAGTTCTCTGAGGGAATGATACACGAACTCAAATCAACATATTACTTGAGCAACATGTATACTTACATTGCTAACGCATGTTTATAGTCTCGCAACACCATCTAACATGGGATACAATGGAAGCAAAGTGTTATATAAGAAAAGATTGTCAATAAATAAATAAAAAAAGATTGAAAGATATAATTTGTCAGCAATAGTGCTTAAAAATGAGGAACAAAAAATATAAAAATTAACAGTAAATTTAAAGAATGGAGCTTTCATAAGAGAAAGAAATGCATTGAATTATAGTCAAGTCAAGATTTTACGCTTTTTTTTTAATAGAATATTATCTCAAGCAAAAAAAACGAGACAGCAAGGACACTTAACTAGAATTTCCATGGATAAACAAAAAAATACAAAAGAGTAAATATATAGAGCATAAACTTAAAGGATGAAATGTTTAGCCGTATGAAAAAATGATAAAGGAGAAAAGAATAGCTCAGTTGGATTGCCTTGCTTAAAGCCTCATGAAAGTGGGGGAGTGGTGTTTTTTTTAATTATTATTATTATTATAGGCCTGTCTGCTAAATGGGATTTGAAGCCTCTATACCCCGCAACATCATCACTCATAAAAATCCATCAAAATCATTATGTTATTGAGCATCATTGCAATTTAAGTCTTCAAATAATAGAAGGGAGAGAAAGAATTTCCATAATTGGAGAATCAAATTACATTATCGTACTTGCAAAAGTTGGTTCAAAATTCAAAGAGCAAACCTAGACTGATGACGAAGGAAGAACCGCCATTTAACGAGTAAAAACAGTCTGTCACTCTTGCACTTGAACGTTTAATTTTCTCAAACTTGAGGATTTGTTTACCCTATATGCGGTCACATAATAGGATACATAATCTCCCGTAATTTAATCTTGCAATAAACATAAATGCCAATAAACACTTACAAGTAATCAATAGAAATTTTTAGAAATATTAATTAAAGATGTCAGTCATATGTAGGTAATTCAAATTTCAATTGAATTCCAAAACTATTTTTGATAGAATACAAATTAAATCATTATTTACTTTCTTGTATGAGACGTTTACTGAAATATCTATTATAATATCAAGCATATAAAACATGGATACAAAATTATAAACCTTGATAAAAAATTCAAAGATATTAAAGTCAACTTTTTTTAAAGTTCTTTAATACATCAACCAATTAATCTCTATAATGCATGAATGGTAAATATCATCCTTGTTTATGCCGCATAAAAACCCAAAAGTTTTACGTGATCAGCAATATTTTGAATGGACAATTAAGAAAATTCAATATATTTATCTTAGGAGATTCCATGTTGTCTTTCAAAGAGTTCCATAAAATTTTTATCCTATTAGAAAATATCTTAGGATTATACCTCACTTCAAATGTAGGAATAGAATTCTTAACTTCATAGAAATCATGTTGGTATTGTTTACAAGTCGTAGTTAAATTGCTTGGTTAAAATTATATCTTTTTTTCATCTATTAATTGATCCTAAAACTAAGCTACAGTACCAAAAGTAACTTTAAGGGTTAATAAAAAATCGCATATAGCACTTTCTAGGGTCTATGGTTTTCACACACGTCTCTTATATAATATAGATTATGATGCTAATAACCAAAACAACAAACACACAATTTTCAGGACAAATAAGCCCGAACCTTAACATAACTATTATTTCTTTCAATAGAAACCAATATTTAAAAAAATTCCAGTTCAACCATATGATAAGGAAAAATTGTAAATACCAATCATTTAGCAGCACCTCTCTTCCTTCCATGTTTCCTTCTCTCCTATTTGAATTTGTCTTCACAATAAAACTCTTTCCTATGAATACCAATTATCAAAAAACTTCTATTCTGGAGAATCTCACCTGAGCCAAAAACCCTCTTTAAAAACAATTAAAATACAAATTTAAAGAAACGAAAAGGAGATGATGATAGAGATCATCAATTTTGATATCATAGCCAATCTTATTGCTTCATTCGAAATTTGAGTTGATTCTCTAGAGGTAATTGCACCCAAAATCTCAATTTTGATATCATAGCCAATCTTATTGCTTCATTTGAAATTTGAGTTGATTCTCTAGAGGTAATTGCAAGCACCACCCTTTTCCTTCCACTTACTCGTCAGTGATCTCAAAAACATAGTAGTAGTTAATCAAATTTCTTCATACATTTGATACTAACTTTAGGATCTTCTTTTTATATAGCTAAATGAATCGAGTAATCTAACATAATATGACAAAAACCTTGTAAGGATTCTTTCATTTTAGGCCAAGTTGTTGTACGTCCCTTTGCCAATCTCCATTTGCTCTCCAAAGTCATCAAATAAATTTTAGTATTACCTGTTGATTTTATTATTGTAAATAGCACTTGTCGATTATTAAATATAATCTATCCTTCAAAGAAATAATACAAGTCTAATAACCAGTCAATTAAATTTTAGGATCAATGTTACCATTGTACAGCAGATAAATCCCAAAGATAAGCCAGATTGCACAACCAAGCGAACTCTCATTTGCATAGAAATCTCACGCACCTTATAAGTCCTATACATCCAAAAGAACTGGAATCAATGTCCTATACATCCACAAGACTGGAATCAATGTCACCTTCTTTTCTTCATTTTTTTGTCAACAACGAAAAAGACCACTGCATGACCCTCACAATGAATACTTTAGCTGAGAATAAAACAAAGAATTTAATTTCTTTATGCTATTTATATTGTCGTTTAACAGCTTATTTTTCATTCATGAACAATTTTTGGAAGTCACTAACAGGTTTAGAAGTTACCAAGTTTACTTGCACAAAAAAATCACTTACAACTAATATGCAATCACCAATGGAATAGCACAAGAAAAACACATGAGAGCACTTATAGTTGAAATAAATTAATTGGAACACAAGCACATAAGGTAGCTCTATTAAAGAACTACAATAATAAAACAAACTTACTCTGAAATCTATTCTCTCAATCTTTGAAGAAAACATTTCAGACACATCTTTTCCAAAAGATATAAGTCTTCCGTAATTTATGTGGTTTGGTCCAGATTTCTCGTTTTCTGCATCACTACCATTATATACATTAGAATCATTGCTCTTCGACTTCTTAGAATTGCAATCATAACCTTCTTCTGGAGACCAGTCTAGACCACCCCAAATAGCATCACCACCTTTGGGAAGCATTGACATCGTTGAATCCCATGTTCTCGTCATATGCATAACATATCGCAAGGTCTGAAGCCCAAGAAAATCAGAATCTAATACACCAGGTGCAATTGCTCTGTTAACACAGGAAATTTTCTGTAAGATATTTTAGCTATTCGTAATATCATGAAAATATATGATATGAAAGCTTAGAAAATTGGTGCTTTTAAAAGGGCAAGTATTTCAGAATATCAACACAAACAACTTCTTAACCAAATACTCCGCAATGCAATATCAGATTCCAAGGGAGTACCATATGCTAATTAATATTAACTGTTATATGATCATCAGGTAGCATCTTCATTCCAGCAAAGTGATGACTCCATATTGTTGTGAAATCTACTGCCAAGAAAGTTGTAGGACAACAAGGGAAAACCGTAGAGCAGTAAAGCGGAAACAAAAAACAAAAAGAAAACCGCGAAGAAGAAATGCAAACAAGAGCACCGAGAATTTACGTGGTTCGGTTCATAAGACCTACATCCACGGAAGAGAATCAAAAAATAATTCACTAAGACAATCTTAAAGATTACACCGGACAAACCTCAAGCTCTCTATCGATCTTGATCTCGATACAAGCTTTTTTGATTCTTCACCTTGCTCTCAGAATCTCTCTCCCTTGGCACATCCAACTCATATACATTATTACATATATATAGACCAATGACCCATACAAGATGACCGGTTAAACACCTTTAAATAGCCAAATGATCATTGTACCCATTAGCTATTTAAACCTCCTTATAAATGCAGTTTTGTCTTAGTTCACATAATTGGGAGTCACCATAACAAATCTCCACCTTGACTTCCAATTACAAACCTCCATAATAGAGATTTCTTCCACCTAGCCCCGATGGGCCCTTAGCCCTTGGATGAGTTCACTAAGTCCAGACAGTACTTGAACTTAGCTGTAGGCAACACCTTTCTGAGCATGTCTGTTTCAGATTGAACAACATTAGAGAAGTTACCAATCACAGTTCTTTTGATTAGAGAAAATAGGTCATTTTTTTCTAGCTCCTTTCATGACGATAAGAGAACTTTTAGTTAATCTAATACAGTCATTTTCAGCCTAGAAGGAATAGTCATTTGATTCCAGCATACCTAAAGAAATCAGATTCCTTTTGAGTTCTGGTATGTACCAGACATTTTGTAGCATTCATTCAGTTCCATCAAACATATTTATCAGATTGTTCCACTGCCAACAACCCTGCAGGATTTATTGTCTCCAAGCAGTACTAATCCATCGTTGACCAGTTGGAGTACCTCAAACCAATCTTTATGAGGACACATATGGAAGGAACAGTTTGAATCAAGAATTCACTCCTTGTTTGATTCAGACTCTGTAATTACCAAATCATCAGCTGAATCGTAGTCATCAGAGGCTACACTTGCTTCTTCAAAATCTTTAGGCTTTTCTTGAAATTTTTTCTTCCTATCTGGACAATTCTTCTTAAAACGATTTTCCTTGTGGAAATGGTAACACTTATAAGGTCCCTTTGATGATTGATTTCCGCCCTTCTTTCTTGATTTTGATCTGTTCTAACCATTTCTTGAATCTTTCTTATCCGATTTTCATCTAACGGTAAGACAGTCTCCGCTAATTTCCTCGTTCATGTCATGTTTTTTTTTTTTTTTAATTCTTTGGCTCTAATCAGCGATTGTACCTCTTCTAGTGAAATTGTTTGCCCACTTTCATAGATTGTTGCATCTTTGAAGTGTTTTTTATACTTAAGAATGGAGTTTAGCAATAGCAGTGTCTTGTCCTCATCATCCATCTTGACGTCAATATTCTCAAGATCGTCTATGATCTTATTGAACTCGTCAATTTGATTTGAAACTGATTTGTCTTCGAGCATTTTGAAAGAGTGCAGACGTTGCTTCAAGAAGAGACTATTGGCCGAGATTTTGTCATGTAAAGCAATTCGAGTTTGGCCCAAAGCGCTTAAGTCGTCGTCTCCCTTGACACTTCCCTCGGAACTTTGTCACCCAAACTCAAGATTATCAAGTTATGAGCTCGGTCCAAGATGTTTTTCTTCTCCCTCTTGGACATTTCGGTAGGCAATGTCACCGGTCCTTGCAATACTTCTGTGATACATTGTTACACCAACAGGGCCCTATCTTGACTCTTAAAAAATCGAAATAGTTCTTTTCGGTGAATTTCTAGATGTCGAATTTAGCATATCTCATTGTCGTGGTTGAAATTCCCACAGACGACGCTAATTCTTGTGAAATCAGCTGTCAAGAAAGCCACGGGACAGTAAGAGAAAACCGTAGGACAGCAAAGCGGAAACGGAAAAAGGAAGAAAACTGCAAACAAGAAATGCAAATAAGAACACCGAGAATTTACGTGGTTCGGTCCATAAGACCTAATTTCACGGGAGGAAATCAAGAAATAATTCAATAAGACAATCTTAAATATTACACCACATAAAATCAGGACGAATAATGCAAATAAGAACACCGAGAATTTACGTGGTTCGGTCCATAAGACCTAATTTCACGGGAGGAAATCAAGAAATAATTCAATAAGACAATCTTAAATATTACACCACATAAAATCAGGACGAATCAATCTCCTCAAGCTCTCTATCGATTTTGATCTAGATACAAGCTTTCTTGGTTCCAAGCTCTCTATCGATCTTGATCTCGATACAAGCTATCTTGGTTCCTCACCTTGCTCTCAGAATTTCTCTCTCCCTTGACACACCAACTCATATACATCATTACATATATATAGACCAATGACCCATACAAGATGACCGGTTAAATACCTTTAAATAGTCAAATGACCGTTGTACCCATTAGCTATTTAAACCTCCATATAAATGCGGCTTTGTCTTAGTTCACATAATTGAGAGTCACCATAACACATTATAATAAATAGAATGATTTTTCAAGAGTGGCACCTATCAGATGAGGAAAAACAAAACTCATTTTCTCATATGGTACAGTGTTTGTAGGAAATGGCTATTTTGATCACTCAACAAACGAATAGTACGATTTGTTATTATAATTGACATGTCCTTCCCTAATAATAAGAAACATTTCAGTTACTATTTGCATGATCATCCAAAAAACCTGAAAATAAGAACATACAATTTCCTAGAAAAAGTAACCTTGCATCTTTTTTCGATCAAATACTTGACAAAAGAGCCATATATAAAGGAAAATGCTTGGCTCAATTTACTTTCACTATTTAATAAGCTTAAAAACCATTTCAAGGAAGGATAAAATATCAAAATGAAAGCATAAAAAATTACCTGGCTACAGCAACATCCCTAGCTTCAGCTGAGAATAGTCCAGTAACAGCCTTCGGAACACCCAAGAAAGGCCCGCCAATATTCATCACAGCTTTTATGTGCTTTGCACACCAGTCCCCACCGCCTCCGCCACCCATTGGAGCTGGTTCCTCAACCCACTTCATAAAGTGCAGGAAGTACAAGACTCCCATGGAATGTGGAATAACTACAACTTTGTTCCCACCATTTGTAGCTACCATTAGTTCAATATTACTTTTTATTCTGCTTAGAGCTTGATCTCTCACCTGTTCAATACATTTTATATTGGTTGTGTATATCAATTATCTAGCTTTTTAGATAATCATGTGATATCTACACATTGTGATAACATACATGTATTGGGCTTTACTTTAGTACATATGGATATCAAGCAATTGCACAAATTTCAAAACAACAAATTAATGCTTCATGTTCAATACAATAGAATAAAAGAAAAGGCAAAAAGTTACCTCCGTGTTCTGAAAAGATAGTCTCCAATCATAAGCTGCCATATACATGGTCTTCTCTTCATAACCAATGCGTGCTAAATTTGCAATTAGCACTGCCCAAACAAAATAGCCAGGAGCGAAATAGTCTGCTGCCACCAATCCAGTTACAGGCCTAACTCTAATGCCTGCTGGATCCATTCCACTTTCATTGTCTAAAGACATATGTTCAACCCAACATAAAGGCCTGAGCAGCACCAAAAAACATACATTTCAGGAAAAAAAAAAAAAGTGAAGTGAGTTACCAATTCATTTTTCTTCAAAAAAACCCTGTAATTTTACAAACATTGATGATTTAGAACAAGGAATATCCTACACAATTTCATCGTAGGGCAAAGCTTGGAGTGCTCCTATTGCTTATCTTGATTATTAGATAACAACTCATCAGGTATAGAATTATACTACATCCCAACAACAATTTAAGGAAGCAGCAAGAACTAAATTGTCATGGCCTGTGGTACCAGTGCTGGCGACAAGCATAGAATTCTGCCCCCTTTCATTTCTAAAAAAAGATTATTCAATCTCGGTCCCATGAAACCAGCTCATTCACGTTCAGCATTGCACGAGATATTAATTCAATTAGCATAGAATTCTGCCCCCTTTCATTTCTAAAAAAAATTATTCAATCCCGGTCCCATGAAACCAGCTCATTCACGTTAAGCATTGCACAAGATATTAATTCAATCATTCAATTTTATGCAAGTCATTTCGTTCAACCTCTAACCAAAATAGATTTGCTCTAGCCCTTTTCTTGTTCTTACTTTCACATTAATACTATCTGATTTCCTTTAAATGCATCTTCTGCCCTTGTAAATGTCAAATATTATGTTTATCTACCACTACCTTATATTTTTTAGTTGCTTCTCTCATAATTTTTCTAAGAGGGCCATTTCTGACTTCATTTAGCTAAACTTCATTACACATGCATCTAAAAAAAATTTGGGATAATTACATACAGAGCACAAGAAACATTGATATTTACAAATCAAACACCTAAGTGATTTGTTGAACTATGAAATTGATGCATTAATGCATGCCACACTGACAGGGCTCATGTCATGCAGCACTTACAAACATCGAATTCAAGAATGAGAAGAAAGAACTTCAAAATATAAGTCCCACTCCTCCATTTCAGCTGCAAACAATCTTTCCCAAATCATCCCTCAACCTAATTAAACCCAGTGGAACACGTAACCATGAAAGAGCAAAGATGGAGTCTAGTGAAGAATACCGCTTATAAATTTCGCCGAATGTTCCTCCCCACAGCCGCTTGCGAAACAATCCCTCAGCGCATTGGTGCCCCTCCCATAATTCGAGTCCGCCGGTAACGATCCCTGGAACAAAAACAACCGGATGGCGAGCGCGGAGCCCTTCCTTCCGCAGCTTTACCCCAGGCGGATCCGACATCGGTCCGGTGATTGCTTCGGTAACGTATTGCGGGAACGACGGCGGCATCGCGTTGTATAGAAACAGAAGCAGCCACCACGCCGTGCAGATGCACCCAATCAACCAGCAACAGCTATCCCAGCAAGACCACCGCGCTTTCACCTCCTTTCCCTTCGCCTTCTTCTCCTTGTCGCCCTTCTCCTCGACAACCGCCGCAGGTGAGGCGTTATTGCCGTCGATATGCTGCGGCGGCGGCTGCGGCGGAGGAGGAGGAGGCTGTCGCCGTCGTCTAAGCAGAGACATATCTAATCGGGCTAAGCGCTAATCTAGGGCAGTTCCGTTCCCGGCGGCGGGGGTAGGAGGGGGAGCAGAGGAAGGGAGAAGCTTCCCTCGGATTTATCAAGGATATTGTTTGGAATATATGGCGAGGAAGAAGAGGGAAGCGGATGGGAAGTGCGGGAACAGTCGATGAAGTCGCGTGGCTGGAAACTGGTGGCTCTGAATGATGTTCCGTGTAAGCGCGTTGGTGCAATGGAAATTGCGGGCCCCGCGAGCAAATTTGGTTTCTATGATGGGAAAGATATCAGCCGTCGAACAGATTCACATCATCACATGGTCGATTTATTAAAGGCACTGTGTCCATAGTCTGATTTATATTAATAAATAAATTGGTTGGGAATCTACTAGAATATACTAACATTTTTTAAATCTAAAACAAGCCCCAATTTTAATTTCCCCTTTCAGATAAATTATTAATCATATCAGTTTTTATTTATTATTTTTTAAAATTATAAATTCATGTTGGATATTTTATGATTTAATATTTATCATTTTTTTTAAAATTTAAGTCGAATTATTTTAAAATCAGTATATTTGTTTTACATAGATGAGATGTAATTTTTTTTATTAATTATTAGCAGATTGTATTTATTTTGATATAAAATGAATAATTTTGAAATTCATAGCCTTTCTATTTTTCAAATTTTATAGATCTAGAGAGTGCATGGTCTCAAAGAGATCATTTGAACATGTCATTTGGAATTTGTACATTGTCAATAATTATCTAAGTGTCAAAATTTTATTATTTTTTTAAATTTTAACCATCAATAAAAAATTATCTTGAATACAATATAATTATTAACATAAAATAATATATAATTATTAAATTGTTATGAGTGATTTTCTGTAAAAAATTACTGAATATATTTTTTTTTATTTCCTTATTTTTTCTATGTGCTTCATGATATTTTACGTGTATAGATTGGAGCTGAGTATTCAACTTTATAAATCAAAATTTAATTTTTATTTGAACAAACATGTATATTTATAATTAAATTCTCTTAAAAATGTTTGATATAAGATAATATTAACAGTATGACACGTGCCAATATTAAATTGATGACACTTCTTTTTTCTGTAAATAGAATTTAATAAATTTGTAAATATGTAAGTTTTTAAATTCATAAATGCAAGGAGGTCGAATCCAATTAGGGGTGTAAACGAGCCGAACACCAGCGAGCCCTATTTCGAGCTCAAAAAGTATATTCATGTTCAGCTCGTTTGCTTAGCAAGCCGAACACGAGTCTTTCAAAAACAAAGTAGTTTAGACAACCAATTTAAAATATCATTTGAATCTAATTTAATATTTTTTATTCTATTTTCTTAATTATATATATATATATATATAATTGATTGGTAGTATTTCGAGCCAAAACGAGCCGAACACGAACGAACAAATATTGGTTGGTGTTGTTCGTGTTCAGATTGTTAACTTAGCGAATGAGTCAAACACGAGCGCAAATATTTGTTCGTGTTGTTCGCGAGTTTCTTAACGAGCCGAATGTTAGCTTCTTAATGAGTCGAACAAAAATTGTTCGCGAACAAATAGCCATTTTGACGGCCCTAAATCTAATATTTTAAATTGAATTTAGCTTCTTAATGAGTCGAACAAGAACTGTTCGCGAACAAGTAGCCATTTTGACAGCCCTAAATCTAATATTTTAAATTGAATTTAATAGATCCAAAAATATGCTGTTCCATCAAACTGAATTTAATAAATCTCGTTACCTCTACCCTTAATTTGCTTTAAAATATTATTTTTAGGTCCTGGTGGGCCCAGAGCAAGCGGAAAATTCAATAGAGAGACAAATGCGACACGTGGCGATTTATTGTTGACCAAAAAGATGGCGAACGTGACGACGAAAAGGCCTGTCACGTGACGTGGGTCGACATAGGAGTACTAGCAGCCAGCAGGCGCGGATTTCGGTTCAAAGTTGGTTGGAGAGCGCAGCACCACCTGGTAATCTTACCCCCTCACATTGGCATTCGTTTTCGGTCGGGTAAAACAAGAGATTCGAGTTTAGTATGGTGACAATAATTGAATTTCTTTTAACTTTAGCTATGGTCGTTGGAATCGAAATGGGCACTTCAGAATTACTTTATTTTTTATTTTTTTTATTTTATTTTCTTTATATTATAATTTAAAATATAATATATAATATATATTTGACTATTTAATTAAAATATAATTATTTTTTAAAATATTCAAAATCATTAAATATTATTTTAATATTTTCAATAATATATTGAATTCATAAGCGATGAGTTCAAATTCTATAGAATCATAAATTTAGCCTTTCTCTTATTTTGTCTTAAATCATGGATTTGATAAATGATAGGGAGAGGTTTTTCTTTCTCCAATGAACTCTCATTGCAACTTCCAAGGCCATCTTTGACGAATTTAGTAGAGAGTAATTGAGGTGAAAGGTGAGGATTTTATTTAAAAAGGTATATTATATATAAGTAATTAAACAAGATATAATGATTTTAATAATTGAGGTGATATTATTAGTTAATATAAATTAATTAAAAATAATTTCAATAAATTAATATTATTTGTGAATTTATTTTATAAAATAGAGTTTTTGTGTTTATTGAGTTTTATAAACTTAATTAATGATTAAATAGATATTTATTTAAGATGATTATAATTTAAACCATAAAATTATAATTGATAAAAAAAATTTATTAAAAAGGCTATAGAAATACAATTAAATAAGTTTGACATTGATATGTCGTCAAAAAAATTCGCTCGATCCTCCAAATTCTCATTCTGTTATATCTTGAGTTAGTTCAAGATCAACTGAAGTTAAATTTTAACAAACTTATAGTCAAACTAATTTTTCAAAAAAGAAAAACTGAAGAGCATCAAAAAATTGATCCAAATCTAAATAAGTCATATAAAGCGCTTGAAGAATAACTAAAAATTTTGGGATACCAAAAGAGAGGTAAAATTATATTCAAATCATGAATGCTTAAGATCTAATATAGTGTTTCGATAAGATGAATTTAACAACTCTACAAATGATTAATCTTAACATCATTTAGGCATTTAAATATTCAAAAACATATCTTATAATTCAAAGAATCTATTTGGGTTGTCCAATGAAGTATTTTGAATCTTAGCATTATACATTGAGAATATCAATATCTCTTCTAAAATCTATAAATAGAATCTAACTCTTAACAAGAATGAGAGGGATGGAACTGGACCATGGATTGAGAATAATTGGAGGCTTGAATGGTCATTGACTTCTAGATGACATATCATTATCATTGAACCACCAAAACTTGGTTATCGCCTTCCAACCGACCATCAAATCACCCGAGTATGTTAATTCAAGTTAAAAACTCAACTTTAGTTATATTTAAAATTTAACTTGACCTGAATAAGCATGACATGAGCCCGACCTAGTCAAAAAAATATAACTCGAATCTAGTTTGTCTTCGACCTAACTAACCAACTCGAATATGGTTTGTCTTCCACCTAACCAACCGACTCGACTAGCATAACACGTTTACCATAAGACACAATAATTATTTGGGTTAATTTCGAGTTGACAGGTTAATTTTTGAGTTGACTAATCAATTTGAACCCGACCTAAAGGTGACAAAAAAGTTAATTATGTCACTATACATTATGGAATAGTTTTCATGTCAGATCAATTTTTCATATCTCTAAAATCAGTATCATCTATCCAACACCTTTGAATCATTGTCTTTTGTAAAGTTTCGTCATATCACTACCCTTAACCATCACCATCAAATATAGGACGTGCACTTCTATAATATTATATTTATTTGTAGTGACCTTATTTTTATTTTATAAAACTTGCTCATTTTTTTACATAAACTGACTTTTTATAGATTTTTATTTAGATTATTAAATAATTATGATCTTTCATTTTATTTGTTTAAAAAATAAAAAAAATTTGAATTCAATCTTTTAGCATTTAATTAAACTTTATAAATGCTTTTTATATTTTATTTTTAATTATCTTCACCTCATTGTAATGCATTTTTAACTCTATTTTAATTTTATTATTATTTGTCTCTATAATTAGCACAAGTTTATTGTATTTGTCTTTTTTATTGAATGAATTAGCATCTCATTTTAAGATCAAATATTTAGAGTTAACCGTTATTTTTTTTTTATATATAAATATTTTTCACCATATTTTTCTTGATATGATGTAACATTTCTAAGATGTTCTTTTTATAATTTTTGAGGTATATATTTTGATATATAATAAAATTACATTAAATTTATATGAAAAAATTATAATGGTTCATATTCCCTTAGATTACCGCCAACCATCTATCATCGTTGGACCACATCATTTGATCATTATCATCGGATTAATATAATAGTCAACTCGTGGCCTTTACAAAACCGCCATCATTGTTGGGTCACCGCCATTATTGAACAACTATCATTTGAGTTTTGACCGTTGTCATCAAATCATCATTAATGTCATGATTATGATAATCAAATCATCGAGGCTCATCTATAGTTATTAGAACTTCATCACATATCATTTAATTATTTTTGGTCATCTACAATCGTTTAGCTTCTGTTCCTTATCAACAATCAATTGACCATCGTCATCTGACTGCAATAATCCTAACTACACTTGTCACATAATCACTAAACAGATAAAATCACTTAATTGATATTGCTCAATTATAGTTGCTTGATCAACGATGCCCGATTATAGTCAGTCGACTATTGTCGCCGAACTATGATAATCTGACCACTATCACTAGTCATTGCTTATTAGGCCAATATTTGAGTTTTATCATCACCTTTAAGGCAAATGGATGTTGTCCTTTAAATGTTATATTGCCTTGAAGATTAATGTTTTTTGTTGATACACACAATTGCCTACAAGGCAAATGTGCTTTGTCAATGCAGATCATCACCTATAATGCCAAAACATGGCATTGGCAACCAATGCATGTCAATTCTGTATGTCTCTGCTTATAAGGTAAATGCATGTCATTGACACCAACACTAGAACCCGTCAATCTCATTGGCCATCATTGCCAAATATAATCATTAAAACTAAACTAAATAATTCTATTTTAATAGAAAATTAGTATGATAACAAGAGAGCAAATCACTAAGATTACTTTAATTGAAATGTTAAAAAGCTAAAATGA